AAGAAGAAGAAGAAGAAGAAGAAGAAGAAGAAGAAGAAGAAGAAGAAGAAGAAGAAGAAGAAGAACTGAAAACAAATCAAAAGTTTCAAATTGTATAAACACAAAAACCAAACTCTGGTGCTTAAACTCCTCACTGGCAAGAGCCAAGCCTCCCAGAATGGACCTTTAAGGCCCTGCCCTCAGCCCCATACTTCACAAACTCTCTCTAGCTGGAGACATGAAAAGGAGAGTCCACTTGCTGACTGATGCTTCACTGAGTTCCTCCTAGGAGCTGGATGTTCTTGATACAAGTAAGGAGGTTAGACTAAAACCCCACCAACCTTAAAGAATGACTGCCACAGCAGACGACACAACTTAGCACCTGATAGAACTTGATCCAGTGGATTAGGAATACAAGTAATAGTCAATTCTATAAGACTCATTCCACACAATATTGAGGCTCCTTCTACTTTGAAATTACACCGATTAGAGGCAGCCAGAGTCCAACTGTTGCCCCATCCCACAGTGACACCATCTTCCTCCTGGGCTCTCCTGCTGATCCAGGGTGACACGCCAACCAAGGACACAGAGTCCTCATATTTTCCAACTGTACCACCTCTGGTTCCTGCACAACTCCCTGACACTCCCTCTTTTTCTCTGTCCCTCACCAACACTGTGCCTTAAAGTTCGCTAGTGAACAGCATAAAGAAATAACTAACCTTTATAGAAGATCTACTATGTGCCGGGCGTATGTTTGATTACTTGAGGACTTCCAATCTACTCCTGGCCACAGTCATTTGAGGCATGCAATGTGGTGGTGAGAGGCCAGGGCCGAGCATCTGGGTAGCTGGGTGGGATTTTAATTAAGGCTCCTAGACCACATCTGAGGGAACCCAAAGGCTGTCTGTAAAGTTTCTTCTTACTCGGAGTCTATGATTACTACTGATTTTCCTCCACTGTTATTGGAATACAGTTGGGCATTTTTAAGCATGTAAATTCCCTCAGAGCCAGGGCTGTTACACGGGAAAGATACTTTAACATACCCTGATCTTTCCCATTAAAGGGGGACTGCCTCCGGAAACCCTCCACTTATCTTACTTATCAAATGAAGCCCCCTACCCCACCTCCCAACCTCTATTCCCCCTACCCCCATCCCACCCCGTGCCAACAGAGAGAGAACCAGGCTAGAGGGTCAAAATCTGCTGGTATGGAAATACAATTTCCTCCAGTTAGCCTAGATAATTGCAGTTCTATTAAAGTCCACTCCGAGAAGGTCCCAAAGGTTAGAAGAACCCCAGTGGCCAGAGACCAGACTTGGCATAAAAAGAGACAGCTCAGCCCACCACCCACTCTGTGCCCACGGGGGTCCTGTGGAAGACGAGGAGGGTGACCGGAGGAAGAAGGGACTTTCCTATTGGGTCCTGGTTTCTGGTTGGAACCCACTTCACGAGCTCAGGAGGGCTCAGGCGGGCAGGACCCTTAGGGATCGGAGGTTCCCAGCGGCAGCGGCCAGGGCAGCGAGGGGCTCTCCGGGGGTGGCCCCAGAGAGAGGAACGCGGACCTAGCCCCACGTTCCTGCATGTCACCGGGCACCCGTGTCTTCCCTCCCGGCTCCGAGGGTGCCGGCGAGGGCGGGACCCACTGCGGGTATGCAGGGCGGGAGGGGAGGGCCAGGCAGGAGGCTGGCAAGCCTACCGTCTTCTTCTTGACCCCCGACATGGTGCGGCCGTGGCGGAGCCCGGGTCCAGGGCGCAGAGAAGTGGATGGCGGCAGTGGCTGCCAGGCTCCAGGGAAGGAGGTATAAAAAGGCTTCTCAGACACGTCGCACTTCCCTTGACCGGCCCCCTTCTCCTACTCCTCCTCCTGCCCTGCTCCTCTCCGCCCCATCGGCTCCGCCAGCAGCGCCCAGCCCCGGGGACCCGGCAGCCGCCAGGGCGGGGTTCCCCGCTGGGGGCTCTGCCAGCTCAGGTCCCGGGCAAGCCTGACACACGTTCTGCCCTCGGCCCCGGCAGCATCCTTCACCTCTCACCCCATTTCACATCCTACGAGAAACTCTGGGACCCCAGAGTGCACAGAGTTAAGGGCGAGCGCGTCTGCGGCCACCAGGCTTGCTGATGCGGATCTCAGGGCGCTAGAGCTGTACTTCAATCTTTATGGAGCCTTACTCCGCACTCCAGTGAACTCTGCTTTGTTCCTTGAGTGCTGTCATCGCGGCCTGGCTTCAGGCAGCGTGCCCTTTCTCTTAATTTGCAAATGAGGTCATTGAGATATTTGGGGTTTCCCCAAACCTGGGCTGTTGGTGAAAAGCGTGGCACTTCGCTCCCCACCCCCACCCCCTAGCATCTTTACAGCAAGAAGAAAAGAAAACCCCGAAGCTGATAACTTTGGACAGGGATCCTTTTCAGCCCACAGGGGCACAGACGAACCAGAGCTATACGTCATCCAAAAGCGAAGTCTTCGAGGCCAGACCCAGAGGATGGGCAATGGACCCAGAGCAGTTGCCTGCCAGTTCATCCTAAAAGGCAGCACCTCTGTCCATGGAATAAGCCCAGAAGAGGAAACCATACCAGTTGAGGATTATGGCTTCTAGGTTTTATGGGATGCCACTCTCTGGAAGGATCCAGGTGTCAGCGATGAGTAAGCTGGAAAGAAGCTATCTTGACCAGCACCTTTGGGAGCAGGCCCCGGAGTTTCCAGTAGCCTAGTTCCCTGTCTGAGGACAAACAGGCCTATGGAACAGCGCCTTCAAGGGAATCAAGAAGACGCACAAGATCCACTCTTCCCCACGCCCCCCACCCACCCATCCACCCCACTCTTCCGTGAAAGGGCTGGAGAACCTCTCTCCAGAGGCGAGGGATGACATTTTTCTTTCATACCTAATTTACTTTAAAAGACCGTCTTTACATCTGAAGAGTTACCGGCGGCCCTTCTGCATGGGGAGATGGCAAAGGAAAACAAATCAGGAGCCAAACTTAAAAGGCAGCCTGAGCAGATGAGCACCCTCGCCATAGCTCCCAGGCTGACGTTCTCCCCAGGCTGTGTGCGTCACCTTGAACCACGTGGGACTGACTTACAGTCCTCGATATCACTCACAGCATTCACATGAGGGCCCAATTTTGCCCATTTTCTTTCCGTTCTAGAAAACTGGTGAGGCTTGAGCAACCTGAAAAGATGGCGCTGGGTAGTTGGTCCTGTTATTGTTCAGAAAAGTTGGGATCCGTAACCCATCCAAACCATCAGGGGAAGCACAAGGAATTTCAGTGTTGGTGAGTGTTTATGCCAAAATTCCCCAACATATTTCAGGGGTGCTCGACATATTTCAGTCGAGGATCTAACGAGGCACCACCCATGCGTGGTCATGACAAAGGAATGCAACCGCGGTGCCCCCTACTGGCTGTAACGAATAAATGTTTGAGAAAAAAACTGAATTGCTGAAACTCCTTACATATGTAGCATTCCATTCGTAAAGAAGTCCTGTCCTGTGGCTTCAGAACAGCTTCCCAGATGCAGGTGACAGCAAGGCAAGGAACTTACAGCCCATTAAAAGAAAGGTACCCTCTTTAATCTGGTCACTTCGACTACTGCATGTTTGGAACAGGTAAAAAAATAATAAAGGCATGCCCTAACTGCTTGACCAAAAGCACATAAATGTAAAAAAATATTTTGATGCAGGGCTATGGGCTTCTACCGTGGTGTGGGATTTACTGACAGGAGTTTACATACTACCCCCATTAGCTATTTATAATATAATAATGTCCGGTTTGGAGTCTTATAAACCGGAGCTTATAGTTAAGAGTATTTGGACCTGAAAAGGTGGATCTGAAAAGGTAAGAGTGCTTGCTTGGGAGTTTAGTTCCTAGTGCCCATGTCAGGTGATCCCAGCTCCAGCTCCAGGAAATCTGATGGCCTCCTGTCACCTCTCTGGGCAGTCTCTCCCCCCCCCCCGCTCCCCCACAACCCTCATACAAGTAAGTAAGCTAACCCTAATAATGCCAATATTAACAAAAAAATCCTATAAAAATTAAAATCATCTTGACCATCTTGATTCCTTCAAGAGATAGCAATGTATATTTGTCTGTTGTCTGGCCTGCCACCGATTCTGTGGGAACACAGAGGGGGCACAGCAGAGACCAAGTTTGGAGGTTTCCATGGGGAAGATTAAAAATGACCCGGGACTTTAAGAACCGGTAGAGCTTTACAATCTTCCCTTCTCCAAAGTGGGTGGTATGCAAGATTAAAAAAAAAAAAAAAATTAAAGACGCATGCAATCATACATACCGTGTTCAGCAGATTACACAGATCCGGGCTGCTGGTTTTAGGAGACACGACAGAAGAAGGGAAAAGGCTGGAGGTTCGGGCATGCTGTCCCAATCAGGCAGCAACAGATGTGTGCATTTCTTCATCACGCCCATCAGAGTGTGTTGGCTCTGTGGCTGGTCTTCACTGGAACTGTGGGACACTTGTCAGGTCCAAGGATGAGAACTAACTGTCCTAAGGTATCCAAAGTCTGGTGAGCAAAGTGTGTGTGTGTGTGTGTGTGTGTGTGTGTGTGTGTGTGTTTCCAAGGAAATGTCTTTGTTCTTTTTCTCATGTTATGTTCATGTGGTATATATACATGTTTGCATGTATGCACACATGTACACGGAGGCTCAAGGCAGATACGGAGAATCTTCCTCAGTGGCTCCTCTACCTTATTCTTTAAATTGGTACTCACTGATTCAGCTAGTCTTGATAACCAGCTTGCTCTGGCAGTCCATCCCTGCACACCAAGACTGGAATTATGGTAGACCGTTATGCCCACCCATTATTTCCCTTGGTCTCTGGGGGATCTGCTCTGAGCTTCTTAAGCTTCAACTGCTGAGCTATTCAACTGCTGAGAAAATGTCTTAAGAGCCGGTCTAGTTGGGCCTGGTGCCACGGGCTTGTAATACTGGCTACTTGAGAGGCTGAAGCTGGAGGGAAGTTTGGGGCCTGCCTCGGCTACAAAGACAGAAGAGCTGCAATAAACGTACATTTGGAAAAGCAGAGAAAGCTCGAGAGCAGAAAACTAAAAACTATGGTAATGGCTGCAGACTTTGAAAACATTCCTATTCGACCTGCATTTTCAAGGGTAAAAGGAGGCTGGAATAGGGTGACATGCTGCCCACTGACTGACCGTTGAGGCTGCCTCTGGCTCTGCGATAGTTCGCTTCCTGTCTTCGTGTTTCGGAGTCTTTCAGAAGAAATCCGGCCTGTCACTAAGGCTTCACTACAGTCTACAGAGGAAAAGTCGATGTGATATACCAATGCAGACCCTGCCACTCAGCAGCCGCCCCCCGGGGGAGGTCGGATAGACACCCCAAGGCGAAAGAAACGCTCTTCTCCCATTTTCCCAGGTGAACTCCAACCTGGAGGTATGATGTCATCTTTGTATTAATTTAGAGAGACGGCTGAGTGGGTAAAGGAACTTGCTCGAAGGCCTATGACCAGAGTTCAATCCCCAGAGCCCACATGGTGGGAGGAGAGAACCAACTGCTCTAATTTGTCCTTTACAGATGTACAGTGTCGAGTGGATCCGCGTGTGTGCACAGAGACGTGCGCACTAAATGCAAAACAAAGCAAGCATGCGTCCTAGTGTATTCACGCGCTACATAAAATACAAACAGATCATTATAGAAATTCCAAGTTTTCATTATAGAAAACAACAGCTGCATTTGCCTAAAGTCAGGCAAACAAATGACATTGGTCCATTAACTGAATTTCTCAGCTTTAAACAGATTTTTAAAAGAGATGTTTAGCAATGTGGCAGAGGGCTTAATTCATTACACTTGGAACTTTAAATGATTGAAATAACATTCAATTAAACTTAAGTTGTTAAATTATTTAATTATTGACTTATTTAAATAATTTAGTAAGTGTAGAGTTTTTTGGGACTTATATTTTAAAGAAGGGGGGGAGAAGAAAGGGAGACAAGAATAAGAGTATAAATAGTGCTATTTAGACCAAAACTGAGCAAAGATGTCAAAACACGACCTTTGAAGAAATCAAAGTGTGAAAAGATACATTTATCTTGAGTGATGGAAGGCTAGAATGTCTTTTGAGACTGGGTCGCATGTAGCTCAGGCTGGCCTCAAACTGACTATGTGCCAAAGCGTGTCTTAAACTCTCTATCCTCTTGCCCATACCTCCCAAATCCTAGGTTTGTGGGCTTTCACTAAGATGGCAAGTGCTATCATTCTTTAATATAAAAAACAAAATTCATAGTGATCCATAGCTTGCAGGCTTTCAGGCTCCTGGAAGTATTATAAAATCCTATACATTTTATGAAAAAAAATTCTATATGTGCATTAATATTGTTCAAATGCTCTAGAAAAATAAATCATAGTCACTCTAAATATTATCAAATTCATTTCTTGGGTTTCGTATAATATTTCAGCCACTGAATATTAAAACTACAGGAACAGTCATAGAGGCACCCTTCATTTCTTAAAAGATTGCATACTATTGTCTGTAATCCTAGCACTTGGGAGGCAGGAGGATCTTGAGTTTGAGATCTATCCGAGCTATATAAGACCATTTCATAACAACAAAAAAAAAATGTCCAATGGAAACATAAATAGTGGTCAAAATTATTTGGAACCAAACACAAATTTTCATAAATCTTAAAATCAGCCCAGTCTCAGATTCTATATTGTCTTCATCAAATCACATATGCATTCTTTATTCACTTTTTTTCTAGAGACAATTTTGCCCTGGATTGGGTAAGTTCTTTGAAGACCCACAGGCTCTCAAATTTTGTTTATATATATTATGATCACTTAGGGAGTGATGTACCTAATTAAATCAAATGGTGAGAGTATCAGCAGTTTC